AGGCTCAGGCTGAGGCTGAGGCTGAGGGCTGAGGCTGAGGCTGAGGCTGAGGCTGAGCTGAGGCTGAGGCTGAGGCTGAGGCTGAGGCTGAGGCTGAGGCAGGCTGAGCTGAGGCTGAAGCAGGCTGAGGCTGAGGCTGAGGCAGGCTGAGGCTGAGGCTGAGGCAGGCTGATGCTGAGGCAGGCTGAGGCTGAGGCTGAGGCTGAGGCAGGCAGGCTGAGGCTGAGGCAGGCTGAGGCTGAGAGGCTGAGGCTGAGGCTGAGGCTGAGAGGCTGAGGCAGGCTGAGGCTGAGGCTGAGGCTGAGGCTGAGGCTGAGGCTGAGGCTGGCTGAGGCCTGAGGCTGAGGCTGAGGAAGGCTGAGGCTGAGGCTGAGAGGCTGAAGCTGAGGCTGAGGCTGAGCAGGCTGAGGCTGAGGCAGGCTGAGGCTGAGGCTGAGGCAGGCTGAGGCTGAGGCTGTGACTGCGACTGCCGTTGCCACTGCGACTGTCATCGCGAATGCGACTACGACTGCGAGAACAGCAGAATTCTACAACTGGATTCCCATCCGAATCTTTCGGGGAATGCTTCCAGATATGCTCCTACACATCGCTGTTAGGTTGCTTTGCCGGGATAATTATAAACGAATGTGCGCGGCGCTAAGGCGAGAACCACATTTTGAAAACGACCCTTCACGGCTTTTGCACATTTTCAAACGAATGTGCGCGGCGCTGAGGCGAGAGCCACAATTTGAAAACCACCCACCTTCAATCCGTGAAGCTCTTGCAACTGTTGAAAACGAATGTTCGCGGTGCTAAGGCGAGAACCGCATTTTGGAAACCAGCCGCCTTCAATCCGTGAAGCTCTTGCAAATGTTGAAAAACGAATGTGCGCGGCGCTAAGGCGAGAGCGACATTTGGAAAACGACCCGCCCTCCATCTGTGAGGCTGTTATCATTTTCAAGTTTCAGAGTCATACGTGGTGAAGATGTCTCAGGCGAAACGCCCAGCCCGCCCTAAAAACCGGCCTCGGGGTTTGACAGGGAGAATTTATTCAGAAAGAGAAGGAATGGAGGAGGAGGAGGAGGAGGAGGAGGAGGAGGAGGAGGAGGAGGAGAAGAAGGACTCTTAATGGTCAACATAAGCTGTAAGCATAGTTTCCCCAGTATCCACGCTTGTGTTGTATGCTGTCAGGTTAACGCATGTTTCGCCAGCGGTTGTCATGTTAAGGATCCTTCTCCGCGAACTGCAGCTTTAAATGGCCTGCCGGGCACCGCCGACCACACGCCCAAAGAGAGTTTTTTTCGGCAGGAGGGAATTTGACGGCCCTGACATCGTCCAAGGCTTTCAAATGGCATCTGAGGGCCTTGACAGTTTCTTTGGGATGCCAACACATCTGGCCACTGTTAGGAGCTGACCGAGCACATCCTGCAGGCAGCGACACCTTTCTTGTGGTGCGAGGTCAGGCCTGCTCGCAAACCTTCGATCACTTGTTTTGTTTTTTCGTGGGTTCTCTTGGTGGCATGTAAGAGTCCCCATCAGCCAACACCATGCGGGCCACATAATCACCATTCGCGCGCGCATGTCGAAATCAAACATTTCGATAGAGATGTTCAACAACACATGTGACCAACCAGGGGGTTCTCAATCAACTAACATCGTGCGCTTCCTCGTCATCGCCATCGCCACCATCATCGCCAGCATAATCGTTGCCACCGTCATCATCGTCTCCAACATCCTCAACATCGCCGTCACCATCACCACCACTGCCGTCATCGTCATCGTCATCGTCATCGCGTTGTCGCCCTCGTCATCAGCGCCACCACTGCCATCATCATCTTCCTCGTCGCCGTTACCGAAGTCGTCGTCGCCATCATCGTTCGCCGGCCTGTGTCATGGATCTGCATGGGAAGTAGTTTCCTCGCGTCATTGCGCCAGTTATGTGTTAGCCAACAAGTTGCGGTTGGGTGGGTGGGATGTTTGATTGGGTCGAGCACTGGAAGTGATGACTTCAAGATCCAACATTCTCACACGTCACGTAGTTGTGTTTTCACTACGTAGCTTGCACCGCATATGTATGTATGTGTATGTATAACCATGGTGTTACAGAGTCTACACCGCATATATTGCACCCCAGATAATGCGCACCATAGCTTGCACCACATCGACTGTGTTCCACACATTGCATCGCGTACGTCGTCATCGACTGCCTGCACCGCATATCTTGCGCCGCACATGTGTTGCATCCCATAGCGTGCACCGCATAGATCGCCCCCCCGAGATGGCACCACATCAGTTGTACCTTCTATCTTACACCAAGCAGCCTGCATCAGAGAGACTTGCACCTCACAGCTTGGTCTCGTTCCGGGCTCCGCACCAGAAGGCCCGCTCGCAGGTTGTAGGGGTTCTGTACCCCACCAACATAAAAAACTGGAATCACATGGCTTTGGCTTTACACTTGTACCGTATAACTGGTACCCCGCAGCTTGCACCACCCAACTTACACTACATAGCTTCGACCACACAGACTTCGCCACACATGGATTGCACCGAATAGTTCGTGCGCTGCACAGGGCATCCATGTCTTGCACCACCGTGTGCAAATCTGGGACGCAAGAACCCTCTGTTTGGTGTCCACTCTGGCAATCACTCGAAGAAGTATGGATGGATCGATGGTGATGATGCTGCTGCTGCTGCTGCTGCTGCTGCTGCTGCTGCTGATGATGATGATGATGATGATGATGATGATGATGATGCGGAGGAGGAGGAAGAGGAGGAAGAGGAGGATGATGAGGGGTGAGGAGGAGGAAGAGGAGGATGAGGAGGGGTGAGGAGGAGGAGGTGGATGAGGAGGAGGAGGAGGAGGCGGAGGAGGAGCCCCCTCGCTCCCTCCCAGGCAACTTTCTGCCACGTCCTCATCATCCACCGTATCTGACAGCCTGAGCACCGAGCCTGGCGAGCCGCCGGAGAGCGAGCTGACCTGCGACTCCTCCGCGTCGAGTGTGCTGGGCGAGCCGTGCTTGGAGCCTGGCGCGTGGCGGCAGCGAGGGTCACAACGTATGGACAGATGTTCGGAGCTCCGTGTGGACTTCTCGGATCTGCGCTGGACTCCCTCGGCGGCGCCTCCGACGCTGCCCCTGGCGCGCTCTGCGCGCCAGGGAGGGGGGGTCCAGCGCCGACCCAAGAAATCCGCGCGGAGATCCGAATCTTCCATCCTCTTTCTCCTGCCTCCCGCTCCGCCCCTCCCCGCCGCGACCCCTGAGGGACACCCAGAGGCAGGAGGGGAAAAACATACGGATACCGACGCCCTTCCCGCGTTTTCGCCCTCCGCGGCCTCGGGGGCCCTCGTCGGCACATCTGCATTTGCTCCGAAGTTCTGGTCGACGCATCCCGGGAGAGACGCCAGGAAGCGGCGAAGGTCACCAAGACATGAACCTACACTTCGGGCCGATTGTTCTGTACACAGCCTGTCTGTACATCTGATAGTCCATGTCTGTTTCGAGCCCTTCTGGATCCGGAGTCGGTGGCCCGTGGCCCGTGGTCTCCCGTATGGTCTCCCGCATGGTCTCCCGCATGGTCTCCAGCATGGTCTCCCGCATGGTCTCCCGCATGGTCTCCCGTGTGGTCTCCCGTGTGGTCTCCCGTGTGGTTTCCTCTTCGGTTTCCCGCGTGGTCCCCCGCACGGTCTTCCGTATGGTCTGCCGCATGCTTTGCCGTGTGGTCTCCCGTGTGGCCTCCCGCACGGTCTGCCGTGTGGTCTCCCGCACGGCCTCCTGCATGGCCTCCAGGACGGTCTCCCGCATGGCCTCCCAGATCGTCTCCCGCATGGTCTCTCGTATGGGTTCCCATGGGGTCGCCCGCAGGGTTCCCCGTATATAGTCTACCTTGTGGTCTCCCGCATGTTATATTCCGCATGGACTCCCGTATGGTCTCTTGTGCGCTCTCTTCTATAGTCTCCAGTGTGGTCTGTGGCATGGTCTCCCGTATGGTTTTTCGTGTGGTCTCTCGCATGGTTCCCGCATGGTCTCCTGTATGGCCTTCTGCACGGTCTCCCGTAAGGTCTACCGTATGTATTGTACACTGTGCTGTTCTTTTTTTCTTTCTTTATGCCGCCCGGAAGTAATTTGTCAGTCCCTGCATATTTCTCCTCCATTTTGGGTTCCTGGGAGCCGGTTCGGATCCCGAGACGATAACAAATGAACCCGGGAGCACACAGCTTCCCCGGAAAACGTGACAGGACAATTGGGGCCCGCGAAGGTCACCATGAAGAAAGGGTGTCCCGAGGGCGTTTGGGATCAAGGAGAAGTGAGGATCGAGGTTTGCGCATGTCGCCAATCGTTTTCCAGCTCCTGGCAGGCTTCTCGTCGCCACGAGCGCACCGCTTTGAACTTCTGGCCCAAACCCAGTCCAGGACAGGTCTTGGGATCGTCTTCCCTGGTCGGCACGAGAAGATCGGCGGCGAGCGAGGGGGGGAAGCGGGGAGCGGCGGGCCTTCTCAGAAGGCTCGGAGGTCCCCCAGCCTTTGAGAAGTTCTCTAATAAGCCTTCCCCGAAGACACAGAAAACTTCGCAGAAGGCCAGAGTCCTTCTGAGAAGCCCCGCCGCCTTCTGAGAAGACGACCTCTTGCTCACTTCCCCCGCTCGCTCGCTCGCCGCCGAACGAAAAGAGGTACCTCGGTCAACAAGAACTGATAAGCAGAAATATTGCTCGCGTCGCGCCAGGCCCCCTCCCCGCCACCTCCGGCGGGACCCCTTCTGACGCGCTCTGCGCGAGGAGGGGGCCCTGGCACCGAACCGAGGACCAGCGCGGACCGAACTTTGGCTCTGCTATTCGATCGGCTCCAAGTCTTCCTTCGGCGGCGAGTGAGGGGGGGAAGTGAGAAGGAGAAGACCTCCTCAGAAGGCGGCGGGGCTTCTCAGAAGAGAGGCTTTTTGTGTCTCTGGGGGAAGGCTTAGGACATCTCTCGGAAGGCCGGTGGACTTCCAAGCCTTCTTGCCCAGACATTCAGCCGCTCCAATTTTTTTGACGCGTGGGCCCCGCATGTCTGGACCACTTCCCCAAGGCTGGTTTTTCGTCCCGAGTCTTAGGTCGGGTATGTCCTGCAGGCGGATTTCGGGAAGAAATAAAGCATAGTCAAACAATAGTGCAACATAGTCCATAATAGTCAAACATCGTTCCCTGATGTTTTAAACATCAATTTTGAGTATTCCTCCTGTAGAGGGACATGCCCGACTTAACCCGAGTCGTTTTTTCACGGCTCCGAGGCTCGGCGAGGACCCCGGGAGGCCGACAAAACGGCCCCAATTTGGCCGCTTCAATTTGTTGTGTTGGAGCGTCGGATCTCTGGGGCGAAGGCCCGCCCCCTCTCGCTCCCCCCCCTGGGCTCGCCGCCTAGTGCTCCTCGCCTCACAGGAGGGAAAAGTACCCGAACCCTCCTCCTCCTCTTCCTCCTCCTCCTCCTCCTCCTCCTCCCGGGCACCATCGCTGCGTCCGAGCCGCCTGCCCAGGGGACCTGGGCGCCACAGCTGCCTCACACCAGGCGTATACATTGGCCCAGTCTCGGGCCTCGGGGCCCTCGCGGATGAGCCGGCTCCAGAGGTGCTGCTCTCTCCTCCTCCTCCTCCTCCTCCTCCTCCTCCTCCTCCTCCTCCTCCTCCTCCTCCTCCTCCTCCTCCTCCTCCTCCTCCTCCTCCTCGTCGAACCTCGCCCCGGCGGGCCTGAGCCATGCATCTGCACTGGCCTCGGCGAGAGGCGGATCCTGGGCCCGGGAGCGGTGCCGTCTCGGCCAGGCCAGGATCGGGGCGGTCCTGCCCAGGATCGGTGCCGTTGAATGTGGTGTGCGCCCCGAGGTTCGAGGAGGAGGAGGAGGAGGAGGAGGAGGGAGGAGGAGGAGGAGGAGGAGGAGGAGGAGGAGGAGGAGGATCGGTCGTTGAAAGTAGGTATTTTTGGACTGCCAAGGCCCAGTATACTTCAAGCGCCTTCCTACTTCAAGGGTCGATGTGGTCTGGCTGCTGTCTGTTATTCTCTGCTTTGTCCGCCTTCCTACTGCATGTTTCTACCTACTTCTTCCGACCGGCGTGTAGGTGTGTATGGTTTACCCTGAGGTTCGGCACCGCGAACAGCATTCAGCATCTCGGGCGGGCGGTAATGTGGGGGGTGACATCAATGGGGGATGAAGAACAGGGCCCTACAGGGGCCCTTCAGGGTCCTTTTTGAACCCCTCCGCCAGAACGTCCGTGGAAAATCACGACCAGAGCCCTGGGCTTCATTTTTCGGATGGGGGGTGAAGAACAGGGCCCTAAATGGGGCCCTTCATGGTCCCTCTTGGACCCCTCCGCCCAAACATCGTGGGAAGTCACGACCAGCGCCCTGGGCTTCGTCTTCCAGCAGCAGCTCTGGGGTCGGATCCACTGCCCCCTGGCCGGGCCCTTCTAGGGCACAAGAGCTGTGTATAAGCCCTGGTGGCCAAGCCAGGAGGGCGTGGCGCATACACCGCTGCTGGGTTCAGGAGGGCCCTGGCCAGGGAGCAGTGGATATGCATAGATTTTTAAACGCCTTATGTCTCCAGACTCCATTTCCCTGAGGACCCCCGCTGTGTCTGCCTTGGAGCTTTTTGTGAACCTGCTTCTCGAGTGTTCGATCGCATCCACGGGTCAGGTCGTGATGTGTTGACATCAACACTTCGCGTTTGGTTTCTAGGTTCGATGACATCTGATCGCCTCGACGGATCGGGGTGTCTTGCGTTCCTTGAAATCACATTTCGTGTTTGGATGTGTTGACGTGGATTTTGTGTCCTCGAGCAGGGCGCAATTCGGACTAGAATTCTTGCCAACACGAGGTCGGACGCGGCGCCCTACGCGTGGCGGCCGCAGAACGTGGTGGAGCGGGGCGACCTGTACGTTGTCAATACGTTCCTGGACCCCTGGGCGTGCCACTGTGCCCCGTCGAGGAGGAGGGAGGTTGGCGGTGCCCACCAGGGGTGGGCGCGAGGGAGGCGGCTTTGTAAGAAGGCGGAGGGGCTTCTCAGAAAGCAGGGTTCTTTCTAGAAAGCCCTAGAGGCTTCTGAGAAGGCTTCTTAGACGCTGGGCGGCCTTCTGAGAAGCCGCCCCGCCTTTGAGAAGCCCCGCCGTCTTGTTAGAAGCTCACCCCCCTCGTTTCACCCCCTTGTGGGCACCGTCAAGTCAGGTGGTCCCCGGTCGAAAAACATAATCAGCACAGGCATAGAGCTTTCGAAGACTGGCGCGGATTTCTCGGGATTCGGCGCTGGGCATCTGGCGCGCGGAGCGCGGCGGCGGCGGCGCCGAAGGGGGTCTGAAACGAATCACGTAAACGTCGCAGGTGCAGGCCGACCCTCCGCGATAAGACCTCATGGGACAAGACTCTCAAGGGGTGGGGGCGGCGCAGATCCATTGTCTTTTCCGAGGGATCGTGGCCCTGGGAGCGCGGGCCCACAGACGATGGGGGGGGGATGTATGCGACTGGACGGGATTTGTCAAATATTCTTAATTTCCGAGATGGCATAGGTGGGGACGCGTCGACTCCCAATCGCCCATTGCTCGCCGATCGGGGCCCGATTGCCCCAACATGCCCAGCACCGTGCGGATTCACTATCGGGGGCCTATCGCCGATCTATCGGTGTGATGCATCGCCGATTCCAGGTCGATGCCCTGCCCACCCCCCCTATGCCAGTCCCCCCCACTTCAGAAGACTGTAGAGGCCCTGCCAGGCAGCCCCTGGCATCCTACCACGCCTCAGCGTGCGAGGGGGCGGCGCGAGGGCGCGGAGGCAGCCGTCTTTGGCGCGCGCGCCGCCGCGCCCAGGAGCGCGAGAGGTCAGTGTGACCTGGCAGAGCGCTCCCAGACGCTCGAGGACGCTCCCCGAGCGGGCGACCCCGGAGTGTCGTGGGACGGCGCCAGCTGCACACCTGCGCCAATCCTGGCCAGGCCGATCCTTGGCGCAGGGGGTCGGTGATGTATGTATGTATACATATATATACACATGTATGAATGTGTATGGCCAGCTATATATAGCAATGCTACTACTATTATCACTTCTATGTTTACTACTAGTATTGCTACTGCTACAGCTACTGCTACTGCTACTACTACTACTACTACTACTACTGATACTAAGCTGGCGACGATTACTACTACTACGACTACTACTACTACTGTTACTACTACTACTACTACTACTACTACTACTACTACTACAACGACCACTACTACTACTATTAACAATACTACTACTATTACTTTTACAGGTTTGAGTGCATATGTATCACTATTCTGTATATATCTAGATGAATATCTAGGACAATTTCTACAATTATCGTGTATCCATATACGAACATTACTCGTACTAGTACTACTCCGGTTACCCTTACGATTTGTATTTTCCTTATTGTCAGTCTCACTAGTATTATCACTACCACTAACATATTAGTATGGTTGTTATGATTCGTGCCGGCAGTATTTATATTAGTATTGCTACATCCTTGTATTATTATTATTATTACTAACTACTATTACTACCACTATTACCTATATATATAGATATAGATATATATCTGTAGGAGTGTGTAGGTATATGGATAGCAATGCTACTACTACTACTGCTATTATTACTCATGCGTAGAGTACCACTAGTAATATTGTTTATACTACTGCTAGTGCTACTGCTACTGCTGCTACTGCTACTACTACTGATACTACGACGACGACCACGACTATTATTGCTATTGCTACTGCTACTACTACGCTTACTTCTCCTACTAATCTCACTACCACTATTACTACTGCTGCTACTACCAGTACGGGTACTCGTACTATTAGTTTTACTATTACTACGATTGTTGCTACTACTACTACTGCCACTGCTACTACTACTCGTATTCCAACGGCTACAACTACTACTACTATTACTTCTAGTACTACCTTTATCATTACCATTTCTGCTACCACCACCATTACGATTATTCACATTACCGCTTTCGCTATTATTCTTACTACTACGAGTATTATTGCGACTAATACCATTACTACTACTGCTACTACTATCATCAGTACTGCGTTTATTATTCTAGTACTATTACTACTAGCATTCTTACCACTACTTTGACGTCTAGGTCCGCTACTACTACCATCGCACCACCACCACCACTATTGCTACTACTACTACTACTACTACTAGTACTACTACTACTACTACTACTCGTACCACTAGCATTGTTACTATTAGAGTCACTACTACTACTGCTGGTACTACTGCACCACTTCCGCTGCTACTATACTACTACTACTACTACTACTACTACTACTCCTACTACTACTACTACTACTACTACTACTTTTACTACTGTTACTATTTCCGCTGCTACGATTAGGACTACGACTACTACTACTCCACCGGCCACCACTACTACTACTACTACTGCGACTACTACTACTACTACTACTACTACTACTTCTACTGCTATGAATACTGTTGTGACAACTACTACCACCACTACTATTATATTGTTACTGCTTCTACCGATATTAATATTACTAGTAGTGCTACTACTGGTACTACTGCTACTACCGCTACTACTACTACTATTGCTACTACTACTACTACTACTACGACTACTACTACTACAATTTCTGTTACTGTTATTACTACGACTACTACGGCTACTACTTTTTTCACTGCTACTACTACTTTGACGACTGCTATTTTTATTTCTTTTAACGACTACTGCGACTACTACTACTACCAGTTTTAGTTCCGCTTCTACTACTACTAAATATGAGTTTTGTTTCTTTTGTTACTCCTCCTGCTCCCACAACTACTAATACTACCATCACTCCGACTACTGCTACTACTACTACTAGTACTATTATTAGTACTCCTACTAGTATTACTACTATCAATTGTATCAGTAGTACTGCTACTTCTACTCCTACTGCTACTGCTACCGCTACTGCTAATGCTACTGCCACTGCAACGGCTACTGCTACTGCTGCTTCTACTGCTGCTGCTA